CAGTGAAAGAATGAAGCCTATACTGAAAATATAGAAAACCGATCTTGAGATCCTGTTGTCTAACTGAACTCGAACATCTCGGATAAATAAAAAGATGTTTGAGTTTGGATAGAACATATCAGGTTACAAGATAATTCATCGTCGATTAATATTTACACGTAAGCTTACTTCAATATTTAATGCATTTTTTGCCCTTTTAGATTGTTATCCGATAATTAGAAATTTACCGTTAAATTAATACATTAATAATTTTAATGTAACTCTTATCCATTTCTCTCTATTCTTGCGTGTGATGAATAAACAGCTCTTTTGCTGATTCGGTGCACTTCAGATGCACACGATATTTTTACTATTCAGCTGTTTATTCTGATCGCAAGTCTAATAATTTTCAAAGTGTCTTTCCAGAAAACGGAATGACTCTCTTGAGATAAACACTGTCATATATGCAACTGACAGTGCTCTACAAAAACCGCATGGAACCTCTTTGGCAACTCTCTAGCAAAAACGTTCATAATCGAAAAATATCTCGTTCTGATTTGCTTCACTTATACTTGATATAACAAGAAAGAACCAGTATGGATCCGTAGCACAGTGGTTAAGTGCAAAGAAACTGAATTTTTTCGTCCTCGGTTCGAATCCGACACGAATGTTTTTGTATTTTTTCAAAATCTTTTTCTCCAAACATCGAAGTGACCCTTTTCAGATAGATATGCCGAACCACTAAATCGACCATGGTGAATAAGATTTCGCAGCTTTCGTGTTGGCAAACCCCTGGAAAAAAAGCGCCAAATCTTGGTATGGATCATTTTAGCGAAATCGCCAAAAAGAAAAAGCATTCTTCCTCAATCACTTGTGATTACGGGGAGTTTTAAATATAGTCAGTCGACAGAGCTTTTCAATAGCTACTAAATCGCCATCTTCTCAGTTTTCGTTTCATAAAATATAAAAGACTGAAACTTAAACAGCCATTTTTGAGCTTGGAAAATAGTGAAGATTGAAATTTCGCAGTATTTCATCTATATTCCTTTACTTTTAGCGTATGTGAAAAATTGTTTCATATAGTACGAATATATACGAATTACATGTATTGCACAAATTTTACATTACATCATAGTAAGTTTTTTCGTTTTCATTCGCTTCATGCCAAAAGTTGACCACATATACAAGTAGGATATTAGCGCAAAGTCTAGGCTATTAAATTTGTAACCTCTTAGAAAAAGCATGACTACACCAATGTACCAATTAACGAAGACAGAAACTTATTATTAGTACTGCAACCGAGTCAAACAGGAGCCGTTATAATAATTGATAAATTGATTTTGTTGCCGCTAACAATATCACGACTGGTGTACCGCTCATAAGAAAAATCTTGTAGTGTATCTTCGGTAACCTAAATCTGAAACTGTCCAAATATTTTGGTTAGAATGAAATAGAACTAGAATTATTGAGAAACAATACACTCTCATATCATTTCTTAGACAGGTGAGCAAAAGGCTCTCATTTTTCTGTCTACGTGTGTGACATGATACACTTACGGTCCTCCTTTTCCAGCTAGAATTGAGGATGGAGTTTGACGTGTACTTGACCAATATTCCAACGGACTGAAAAATATTATTCCAGAATCACTATAAGAATGCATTACTTCATCAGTCAATAAAAAAGTTAAGAACATTTTTATTGTTTTTATGGGTGAACAAAACTCAAAAATCGCTTGCAAAGATTTATCGAAAAAGAGCAGTGATATGCACCAAATCGGTGGAACACAATCAACAGAAATGGCAACAGCTTTTAGATAAACAAGGCGCTTTATTGTTATTGTTGCATTTTTACCATCGTTTGTCGCTTCCACTTCCATCTACCTTGATCTTTACTACTCTCTTATACAAACTTGCCAACATCACTATACCTTAATGTATCAAGTCAATAAACAAAGTCTATAAAGAATTTAGAAAATGAAATTATTAGCTGATCGCAAGTACTTAAATAACTTGAACTATCAAAAGAGAACAATTCACTGATCACTCTCAACATATTTATCTGTGCCATGTTTTTCATAATTCTAGATATGGATTTCTTCAACTAGCATCAGACATATCCATTCCAGAAATTTATATATTGAAGTGAAATTTCACTCTAAAATACTATTCAGGCTAGTATAGATCATTATTTTGCGTTGTTATACCTCCTCATCTCATTTATACCAAATGACATTATTATCGATTCTACACATTAAATGCGTAGAGAAAAGAAATGAGAAGTTAAAGAACCAAAATATATTCCAAGGTTAAAAATGTTTTTACGTTCTTTCTTTTTTGGAGAAAATTTTCAAACAAATTGACGCAGAAAATTCCCATGGTAAAATTATACAATTTTGAAAATTTTTCATAGCCTCGCGCCGCCGCCGAAAACTTTTATCAGTGCACATGTCTACCTGTAAGTAGGATACAGAGCGTTTTTAGAAAATGAAATAAAAAGAAAGATGTTGCGCAGTTTCTCATTGCGCTTCTATTTCTTTTCAGATTATGATATTCCCACTGATTCTTTGCAAACAGGTAAATACTCTGTTATTAATATGATTTCTTTATATGCATTTCTCTGTTACAGAACCGAAATATATGGCCATTCATGGAACATAACGTTAGTTTCGAACTATTCGCTTCTATTTCTATTTCTTCTATTTCTAGGCGATCAGAAATGTTGAAAAAATGATTCTGAATCGAAAACAGTAACTTTTTGGGAAATTTTTTCTCATGCAAATATTCACAGGAAGGAAACCTCCTTCCAAAATAGCTTTGTATGAAACACCGTCAGATGTAGTTTGTGTGCGCGGATATCACTCTGGTATTCCTTAAAACTGTTTATGGGCTAAGAAAGATGTTTTTTTAACTTTTTATTGAAAACCAGGGTGTTTTTTGCATAATTTATGGTGAAGTTTAGAAATAAAAATGCTATTTATCGCTAAAACCATAGAGGACAAACAAACAGAAATAGTTTCCTATCCAAATTTAAGTTTGTTTGAATATTAGAAAAAAGTGGGGAATCTGATTATACCGAGAACAGATCTGAGGAAATTCCTTCATTTCGGAAACTAGGGCTTTTCTCTGCTACTTTAAGTTTGAAAGAAGAATTTCTTGATTATTAGCTAGCAGAACAATCTTAATTTATAATATCTACCGCAGACAGCTTTTAAAAGTTGTTGTCAATTCTGAGCAATCGGCCTGGTCAGCTAACTGTCAGCTCGATGTGGGGAGCTAAAGTGAAAAACTAAAGAAAACCAATTACTCCGTTAAAAAGAACGGATCAGTTAGTTAAATAACAGGTGTTACGTTGACCCGAATAGCCGGTTGAAGCGCATTTTTAGCCGTCAAGCTTCCTGAGCTCTCTTCGATGCTTCATTACCCAGAAATCTTGCAGCCACAAAATGGTGTTAAAGTGAAAGTCGCTTTTATGTGGCGTCAGTATCTGATGCATGCGTTACGGCTTCCAGCAAAACTCTCATAAGTCGAAAATATCTCATTTTGATTAGAAATGTTTGATTTATTTTCTGGTATTATTGAAAACATTTTTGAATTTGTTATCGGAAAGTAAAATTTTTTGACAAGTCAGCTTTTCAAGGTTTTCAGAAAACTTTTCTAAAAACATTAAAATCGAAAAAAGCTCTGGAAAAAAATCATTGTTTAGCAACTTTTCTTGGGGCTAGATGTGAAAAAAAGACTGTTGTTGCTGCTTCAAGTATCTAAACAAGAGTCTAATTTTAACGGTAATGGGACGTCACAGGTATGAGTGATTAGAATTTCGATCCTTAACGAACTCTACAGTCTCTTTTCATCAGCTGCAAAAGCTCTGCTACAGTACTTAAACTAACATGAATGAAATCTACGATAGAGCACTACCGTACGCGCATCATTTTTTTCACAAGGCTATTCTCATGACATACGAATTAAGAACAGAAGGCAAGTAACGTTCATCTTACAGATATTCTAAGTTTAGTTTACCCTTTAACCTCTCAGCATAAAGGCAGAAATGGTACTAGCGTTTTGTAACTGAATTTTAAACGCTTTTTGCGCCAGTTCTGATCATATTAACCTTAGAGTCAAGGGAATAATGTGTTCAAAGGCATAATAAAGCTCAACTGTCTTCCATTCTAGTAACCTTACCCTATGATGTACCATCGAATACATGGAAAATAACGGAGAAAGCAACTAGTGAACAAGTATTAATTATTCATTCACAAAAAAGATCGAAAACATTCTGCTGTATTAAAACTTTACACAGAAGAAAAAATAATAATCTGAAACAAATGAACTGTTATAGAGAATTAATTGCACTTAAAACATTAACTGGTGAGCCAAAGAACTAACAAGAATAACCCGTCTTCTATGTTTAAGTTAAATATTTGTCTTTTTTTAAGGTACGGAAAATATTGTTCGATTAATTGATTCAAACATCGCAGATGATAAAGAAAAAGGAAAAAAGTTTTGGATCATAATGGAATGTGCACCTGGTTGTACATTAAAAGAATTTATTAATAAAACTTGTCGTGGTCGTATTACATTTCTAGAAGCGATTTTAATTACACAACAGCTTGTTTCGGTAGTAAAAAATAGACATTCAAAAGGTATTTTACATCGAAATATTTTACTAGAAAATATTATGATTGAATGGGATTATCAACATTCACCAATTGATACAATAAAAATAACTTTAATTAATTTTTCATATTCTTATACGAAAGAAATTGATGTTTCGACCACAACTCATCAGTCATCAAAAACAAATCGATATAATAGTCCAACCATTGATACAATAAATGTTTGTTCGATTCTTCTTTGGTTACTGACAAATGTTGAACTACCAATAACAAAAGAAAAAAATCAAGAACATGCTGCTGCTTTGGCCGTCTACTACCACATCAACGCGAAGATGCGATTGATAAAATTAACAGAAAAATTGATCAGATAGTTAGAGAATTAAGTATGTGACACTTTCATTTCGCATTCTTTTCAAAACATTCATTTCCACTAAAGAACGTTCCTAGAGAGCTATTTGACAAATGGAGTGAGCTATCGGAGTAAGTAATCTCACAATTAGCTATTTCAACGGCATATTTTGTAGAGCTGAATGAATTAATGTTAGTCTGAAAACTATGAAACTACTCCGACGAGGGACGGTCTGAACATCATCAAGTCAAATGAACCAAGAGACTAAAAGCTGTCCATATTTCCACATTGATCTGTCTCATACCCGAATACATGGGATGGATGCGTCAATGAATTCTACAAACTAAGAATAAGAAGTTTTGATTTTTGTACAGCAGGTAGCATAGACAAAAGACTATGCTTATATATTCATCTTAGTTCCAAGGGCAAAGTGAATTTTTAAAAAAATTTTATATTCGAAACTCTTATGAGCTTCAGTACACTTCTCTATCTCAGAGCTGGAACCAGAGTTGTAACCGTTCCGGTCCGGCCGGTCTCAGTCAGTTCCAGCCCGGACTGGTGGAGAAACGAAAACCGATCCGATCTGACCGGTCTGAAAGTGTTACCGAATCTGTCCGGCCAATAAACTGGCCAGTTGGCATTATAACTCAAACCGGTGAAAAACCGGCGCAAAACTGGCAAAGTTTTTGGAAAATCGATTTTCAGAAAGAATTTCTCCCAGAAATGAAATAGTTTGCAAGCACATGTGCGAGAACCTTCACAATAACGGGTCTATAACATTTAACCTTGAAACAAGTGATGAAAATCATACCTGTCTTGAGCATCGTCTTATTTATTCTGACTAAAAAAGCGTGAAATTTTAGTTTTTGGACGAAAATGACGGTAAAGGGAGAAGTTATATCAAAAGTTTGAATCTTACTCTCGCTTCTTTTGGTCTATCGTCAAACATTTTCTGCTAAAACTAACGGTATATTCAGAATTTTCATAGTAAACCCGATAGAAGGATGTATTACACAAGCGTTCTGGCCTATTTTTTATTGTAGTCAAGTTTATAGTAGCACACTCTGCTGCCAAAAAGAGTATACATTAGGAAATAAATGTAATGAAGTCTAGAACATTTTGAAAAGTGGCTCCTGTAGGCGGAGATGTGCGCTGATTCACAGCCGCCACTGCCGCTCCCGAAGGCGGAGAATATATATTGTAGCTTCAGCCGTCGCCGCCATGCCTTTAAATTTTGTGGCCGCCGAGGGCGGAGAAAACATTTTTAATTGCAGAGTTCTCTGACTGTTTTTGTTAGTACGTTCTTACCTTAGGCATCTAGCGTGCAGCACTTCAAATCACCGGCAAAAAAATAAAGTTCATTTGGAGTTAACGAATAGTGCTTTTTCGTATTCAGCAGACTTGATAACCTCGACAGTTTTCTATTTTGAGGGAGGGGTACTGCCAGTTAGGAGAAAATTTTCAAACAAATTGACGCAGAAAATTCCCATGGTAAAATTATACAATTTTGAAAATTTTTCATAGCCTCGCGCCGCCGCCGAAAACTTTTATCAGTGCACATGTCTACCTGTAAGTAG